ACTTTTCATAAGTACCGATACTAAACTGGTTGTAAAATCCCGCCTCTGATTACCGGCATAAAATAGCAGTACTATTATACAGTTAATGTTCTAAAATTATATTTTTTTCTTTTCAAGAACTAAATTTAACATAGATTTAGAATATGAAATGAATTAAGACAGTGAACAGCATTCAAACACTTAAAAGTAAATAAACAATACAAATCAGAAGTTGAGTGAGTAAATAATGGCCTAACAATTACTGTGGCATGAAAAACCATCAGTCAGCATTTGGCTTCAAGATAGATTGTATGTGTTTCCTGACAAGGCATCGTGTCGATCACACGTAACGTGTCATACTTGCTAGCAATAATTCAATATGAAAACTAAACACACAATTAAAAAAAAAAGGTCATTGACTAGAAAATTGATTTTATCTGGTTTATTCATAATGAATACGATTTCTTAATCATCTATAGAAATTTACAGTTTAACGGGTTCTAGATATTGGTAAAAGTACCATATCTGACATTTTCTGACTTGTAAATTAAACCGTCATTTTCTGTCAAGACTGTAGCTCTACTGGTTTGTATTTTATGAGAGTAGTTGAATTTTACTTTGACTTTGCAAAGCAATTCATTTGTAAATAATCGATTTATTTAGAATAGTGTACTTGTAAGTCATGCACATTATTCGAACTCAGGCCAAAGTTGTAGGAGGAGTAGCATTTTGAAAGTATTTAAAGAGAACATCTATTTAGGTAACAACGGCACTACCCTTCATCAAAACCAAAATTGTATGTAGAATTATGTCCTTCATTGTTGTCTACTTGTGTTTTAAATTATAAAGAAATCAGACCAAAACTATCGGAAGAGTATCGTTTTGATAGAATTTTTTTATAAATGTGTTTTTAATAACCATGGCAACACCCTACATCGAAATCAAAAACTAACAAACAGATTTATGTACAAGTTTCTTTGTGTAGTATAACAGGTTGTGTAGTTGTGTAGTGTGTATGTGTAGTGTACCAAGTTATATTCAAATCAGACAAAAATAGTAGCATTTTGAAAAAAAACATGTTTTCAAACAGACAGACAGACGTCTAGACAGATAGCTAGACAGACGGACAACGGAGACCTTACTCCTCGTATCTTAAAAGTGGAAATCATTTACCATAATATTTATATTTAAAATAAAAGAGTATGTTTACTTGTATTTATGATATTTTCTCACCCGGAAACATTTAAAGAATTTATCTATTCTGAACGAGGCACACAGCACACGGTACATCTTAATTAAGCAGGGAAGTTACATGACTTGCAAAGGTTTCTGTTTCAAACTCTGCTCCATATAGGTAAGCCTTAAATCCATCATTTCCATCCTTAAACAATCCCCATTCTGGATTCTTTGGTAAACAAAGGGGTTCTACAGCTGCTCCTGGATTATTATTCGATCATCCGACGAATCCTATTAAATGTTCTCAAATATTATAAAACTTCTTTTATTTTCTCTTATTATTTCCTTAAGATTTCCTTAAGATTAATTGGGAGAATTTTTCAACAAATAAAATTTTACACAGCAGGTGTTTTCGTATTAAATGAACTCTTTTTAACTGAATAGAGTATTTTTGCGCTTGACGGACACAATTTCTTTCCCCATCGTGTATATATAATGTCTCAATTTTCAATACCTACAAAAAAAGGTGCGTTTGTGAAACACTGATGCTCTCATATGGCAGATAATGATAAGGAATGAAATATTTCAGAGGGATGTCGAAAGTCAAGTTCAAAAAGACAATTTTATTGGTATCCAAAAATGGTCTAGTCACAAGAAATACACATGTGAAATGCTGTCAATGTTCAAAAGTTATGGCCAAGGTTAATTTTTGTTACATGTGTAGCAAACTTCAAGGCCATGTGGTAAAATATCTTTATATCCATTGAGAGTGTCGTTACAATGAATTCATACACATGTGAAGTATGAAAGCCCTGGCACAATTATTCAAATATAATGCTGACCACTTTCATTGAAAGATTTTTTATAAGGATAGCATTTGTAATAGGCAACAATACGTGTCCAGTCAAAGTCATTGTTTGCTGTTCTATTCATATGCAAAGAAGTAGTCTTTTAATTAAAATCAACATCCTATCAATAAGAAATGTGATCAATATGTAAATATTTAACAGTACGCTCCAACAAAGTTACAAAGTGACGCGCTGTTATTAGACTGATAGTAATGCCCTAGCAAGAATAGGTTAAAAAATTTGACCAAGTTTAAATTAACCACATAGAATGATATAAATTAGACATCTAGTTTTGGTTGAGCCACACATCCTTCCTGTACGCTAGCGTTCACTGTCTCCTTGAACTTTTTCATCGATTCCTCAATGACATCGATGAAGCTTTTGAATTCCCGCCTTAAAGATTCTACCTGATACGAAAGTTGCCCTGTCAGGTAACCCTGTAAAACGTCTTTAAAACTTCCGGTCTGCGTCTGATCTCCATGCGTCGTGTGGAGAATAAAAACCAAGGCAAGATATACATGTAGCACCATCATCTTATTAAAGGTGGTTATACGAAATAAAAATAATATGCAAATCAACATAATATTGTATGTCCATTACATGCAAGATTTCCTCTATTAGAAAATGTCTTAGAATTTGATACAAAAATATTTTGAAATCTTATTTTTCGAAGCATACCTTAGCCAGAACTAGCTAGTTCCTTTCTCAACGAAAGAATATTTTTTGTTAATGCACATGAATATATAATATAAAATAAATTATATTGTGTATCAAATGGTGTGACTTTGATGAACATCTATTTTTAACCTGACAGTAATACACGAAAAAGAAAGAATTAAAATGAAACCCAGTACGTTTAAAATGTATATTATGAGACCGGCAAAGTAAATTGCACTTAAAAGTTAAAACTATACTGTAGCAACTCTTGCTATAATTCCATAAATTCTCGTTAAGACATAATGGATAATTAATGCATTAAAAGCAAGACATAAGTATCTGTTTAGTTTAATAAAAGGAATCAAACAGTGATTGATATAAAAAATCTTTAATCAGTTAAATTAATAAATAAATAAATTAATTATTAAATATATGTGAAAAGGGCATCAACTCGGACTCTTGGAAATTTTAGTTGGGATCGGGTCCGCGGAGGAATAAGCATCCCCTGTTGACCAAACACACCAGCATTGAGTCCTGTGCCTCATTGTATTATTCTGTACGTAGTCAAATTAAAAATAAAACGGAGGGCCAATCTATTATTTTATTTGAGACAAGTCGGCCAAAATACGACCAAGTGATAGGCTATGTTTGCTTATTACATGTAAGTCATTATAACAAACATGAAATTAACGTTATGCTCACTTTAAACGAGGTTTTACATCCAATTATTTGTCATAATCCTACACTTTACATTGGGTTTAAGAATAGGTTGTACTCGGGGTATGGTCCCGAGTATCGAATACTTGAATAAATAAGTTTGTAGACATAAACACTGTATGCAGGTCGCAGCAGGATATCAAGTACTATATTTTGATATGGGATCTCTGTATATACGGTTAATAATAAGTCTTTATTGGATTACAGTGGTATAATAGACGCCATACATATAAAGTTATAAATTATGATAAAAGTTGTCAGCACATGCACTTCTAACTACAAGCCCTAAGTATAATTCACTAGAACTGTTTACTACTACAATCTCCTAGTAGCCTTTCTAGCAAAGGGAAGGCTGCTTTGTGCAGTTCATAAAGGGGTTAGATTCTGTTTGTGTGTCTCTAATTTCACTTTGTTATACCGATAGAAATGAATTAAAATTTCTATATATTTATTATCTATAGCTAGCACTTCAAGTGTTATCTAGCCTGCCTCTTTTAACGGACACAATGAGTCATAATCATGTATTTCTTTAAAGATATCTGTAGCAGACATAAGATATGACAATTAAACTGCAAGAAAAGACTGCACAATATAAGTGCCGGAAAACCATCATTTGTATCTACCGTTTTGTTGTTTCGTCTATGTCAAGGTCACACCACTTATATTTAACTCAATCTTGTGGACATCATTCAACTCGAGCATGTAAATGTGAGAAACGTGTTCTAACAACTTTTAAAACAGATTACATCAAAATTTTTGGTTGATTTATGTCGTTTATGGAAATCATTTTGATAGTCTCGGATATGTTTAAATGTTACTTATATCTTTTCTATGTTTTACGCAAATAAATTGAACAAAAATATTTTCATAATTGAAAATATAATGTTTTATTTATAAATCACTTTGAAATTATTAGGATTATAAGCATTCTTTGCTTGAGCTTGAAACAAAATACACCTCAGACAGCATACTACATCTGTTTCAAATTGGGATAAATTACACGAAAAAGATGATGCATGTTACCTAACAAGAAAGCTGTATGATAAATGTAAAGACTTCAACGTTTCAGTGGTCAACTTCTCTTACTAATATGGAGATCTAAATGTGCATAATAATTTTCTTATGAGATTTTTTTCTCAGTCGATTTGACATGCAAAAACATGTTCTTGTGTTACAAAATTATGAAAAAAATCACGCTTTTGACATACAAGTTGATGAAACGAGGATATTAATTGTCTCATCTAAAATAATAATGTCGCATGTTTAATGGACGATATTATTGGCTAAGTAAGCACATGCAGTGTATAATTTTGTAAACTGCCAACTGACATTTTTCAGGCTTGTTTTCGGGCTATTATTTTCTTTTTCCCCCTTATTTTCCAGTTATAATAATGAGCCTACTGGTTTGACCGGTCGGCGGGTGATTCCCACGTGCACTTTTCAATGGCATCTAATCCCACCTCTGAAGTTCTTAAAGTTCTAGCTGTGTTTGCTCCACTCCCGATTTGCATTGTTTAAATACCCTTTGAGAATGCGTGTTGTTCGTTATCTTGATATTTCATTCAAATTGACAAGCAATATCACTAAAAAAAGACTTACATATACTTTATAACACTAGTTTTATTTTTCACTTTTTAGAACAGACGGCACACACAAGTTCTCTTCCCTCAACATATGGAGGACATTTCAATGAACCACATCGACCTTCGACAAAATAGAATAGGTAGCCATTTTTATTAGAATGACCGCCAGACAGGGTGTCTGGATCCTTGTCAACACACTTGTATGTTGTTCCAGCAGCATGGTTATATTGACTAGCCATTAGGTAACCCTGGTACTCGAGTGTCCAACCTTCATAGCAGGTTTTTCTCGCTTAAATTAAATAAAATTATTATTAAAAATAATCATATAAGTAGAATATCAAATTTAAAAACAAAAAAGTAAAAAATACATTCAATTGAGCAATAAATAAATTATATAAGAAGATGAGTAGAGAAAATCTCGTTGCAAAGCAACTCGTAGGTATCCCGTCTGATTATCAGAAGTACTGCTTGTAACTTGGGTGAAGAAAATAATGTATTCGTTAAAAGAAGGCCTTCAGACCAAAAAAGACTTCAATCCATATTTAGTATTTTAATTTGTATAATTGAGTTCTATGATAATTTTCGTGAAATGAATCAGGTTAAGATAACTTCATGTTTGAACGGAAGTGACTTAAATCGACGGTCTTGTGGGTTGAAAGTCTTGGGTTAAAAAACCATTTGGTTTATGTAAATATATGCCTAAAGAGTTCATTTATGGTTACTTCCAGTTTTAACAAAAGTAACGATACTCGACAGGAAAATACGTTCGGAAGTCAACTATGACATGTATCATTCAAATCATTGCCAAATTGAGACGTTGAAATTTCCAAATTTTGTAAATGGTGCAGGTTCTGACTTTTTCCTGGCAAGTAAACTAGCAAAACCGTAAAAAAAAAAGCCTGGGAAATGTCAGATATTTCGGACAACCAGACATAGTGACCCTTAAAAATCACAATTATCGCAGAAATATCCGAGCAGGAAGTGAAGTCATCAATGTAAAACAGTCTTATTCATTTTATGTTAAATCAGTAGGTAGATCTGATCTGAAATCTCAATAAAAATCCGTCAATGCATTTCCAAGAATTTGCTTGCACAAAATCGGTAAGAAAAAAAATTAAGAAAACTAATTAAAAGAAACGCTTTTTGCAAAACAACGTGTGGGTTTTTCATCCGATTTTCCGTGTCACTGACTATAAGAAAAGTAAAAGAAGATTAGCCATTTGTTTAAATATTCATGAAACAAAAAATGGCGATTAATTATTGAAATCTCTCTGATATACATGTAAGTGATATTAAGCAATTGATGACAAAAAAATCTGAATCCGGTCCGGTTTAACCAGAAGTTAATGTAATCGACAAACAATAGATCTGAAGGTCATGAATGATGTAAACCATTCAAATTTTTGTTCAAAATCACCAAAAGAAGTCAAACCGGAAACTGTCGAAAGTGAGGATACTCGATAGAAAATAAAAATGGATGTTCTCGCCGGCGTGGTGTACTGGTAAGAGAGTCTGCTATAGAGTCGCAAAGTGAGGAGTTGATCCTTATTTCGAAGGTTCGAATGCCACTATAGGACGTGGAGACAGGTCATTCGGATGAGACAGTATAAAACTGGGTCCTGTCTTGCAAAAGTGGCTTGCACGAAAAAGATCCCTCACTGCTCAATGGCTGTAAGTGCCGAGCATAGGACATGCTTTGCAGATGGCAAATTTTTATCTATGATCGGCACTTAAGGTCAATATGCGGTGAGGGATCTTTTTGTGCCAGCATCTACTGCGAAACGGGACCTCGATTTATACGGTTTGTCCGAAGAACCGGTATCCGCGTCACTCTGGAATAAAAACCAGAAAGTAAAGATCATCTCCCTTCACCACAACTTTAGAGTAATTGCTCTGATCACTGTTCCAAGCGGTAAATCGAGTTAAATGTACATTTGCGTAACATTTACAACATATTTCCTCACCTGGAAATATTTTCACAACAGATCTATTTTTAACAAGACACACAGCACAGGGGACGTCATGCTCAACAAGTGAAGAAAAATATCCTTTGAACTCATATGTTTCATACTCTGCTCCATACACATAAGCTCTATCAGCAACATTTCCATCCACGTACATCCCCCACTCTGGATCCCTTGGTAAACAAAGCGGATCTACCGATGCCCCTTTATGATCATAATATGATCCTCCTACGAATCCTGTAAAGAGTTTTTACATAAATAATTTCTATTTGTTTTCTTTAAAGATTTATTTTGCTGAATATGCGGAGGTGTCATTGTTTTTACTGAGCTCCTCTGTTTTTTTTGTACATAAAATTATGCATAAATCGTTTTTTTTATTATCTATTTGCATATTGAATAGTATTGAAAGTGTTCTGAAATTATTTTGTTAAAAAATCCAGATCAGAAGTTTAGAAAGAAAGATTTTTCTTTTATTTTCGAAGAAAAATCCGGAGAGGTCTGGTTGCCCGCCATATTTTCATTCCTCAGTATCACGAAAATATGCTCCTAATTCATATTTGTCTACTTCGTTCATTGATTCAAGTAATGATTAAAAAAGAACAAATATTCCAATTAAAAAGGTAGGTTCACTTAATGTCCATGTCCATATCCCTTTTCATTTACTAACACTATGTGTCCCGTTTCAAACATTGAAGTTTCCAAACATATTCTTTCACCTGAATAAACTAAGACTGCGTTAGAGGGACATGTCTTCTTTCCCCATCTTGTGTACTCGACCATTCTGTTTCTTACACCTATTTCAGAAACAAATTATATATTTATATTAATTTATTTGAAAGAATAATTTTAAACTGTAATGATCGGCATAAGGTAAAAAATTCAGCATTGTGAAATGTCCTGAAAAAAAGTTATAGACTTTTAAATTTTTTGAATTACAAAAAGCCACTTTAAATGAGTCCACAAATGCAATATATATAATTAATATATATGAATAATTTTAACAGAGTATATAGTGTAAAAGATAGCCATATTGGCATGTATTTTAAACAATACATTCGTCAAATATTTAATTAAAGAACAAGTCCTTAACGGGGATAGTTGTTATTTGAAATAGGATGACAACAAGATGTTGCCTTGAAAGATATTTATATTTGAAAAAAAAAGTAAAAAAAAAGTTTGGATTTGTTTTAAATGGATTAAAGACATGAAATCAAATAGGTCACACCTATGAAAAGAAAAACAAATCTGCAAACAAAGTTACTATCAAAATTTTTACAGAGTTCTTAATCAAAGGGGCAAGGAAATAAAATTTAGTATTCTTGCATGTACCCAATCAATACATTTTACACACGGTATTTGTTTATTAAAGGATTAGTTACCATCTTTACAGGGACGTAACATCGTTTTTGAAAGAAAAGTGGGGAGGGTTCACAATTCTAAAGAATAAGCACAAAACGTATTCATAATAGCATCAAATTATACCACCATCCTGTATGCTAGCGTTCACTGCCTCCTTGAACTTTTTCATCGATTCCTCAATGACGTCGGTAAAACTTTTGAATTCCCGCCTTAAAGATTCCACCTGATAGGCTCCTAGTGCAGACGACAGTTGTCCTGTTAGATAACCCTGTAACATGTCTTTACAACTTCCGGTCTGTGTCTCCCCTTTTGCCGATGAAAGAGAAACAACCAGGGCTAAATAAAACGCCGACATCTAAAAGAAAATCAGTAAGCTTAATTTTAATGTGATATATATACATTTGAATTTCATATATTTATCAATGATATTATCCAAGAATTATTAAGAAACCATTATTTAACGACACTATATTTTTCCTTTCAGAATGAAAGAATATACACTTTCAAACAGTTCTATAAAACAACAGTAGCACAAAATTATCTAGCTGCCTAGACTATATAGGTAAGAAAGAACAGTAATAAAGTGTCAATAAATTCAGCTGAATACCAGTGCTTGATTCCGATCGCGAGAACAATTGCATGTACGACATTTTAGCTGACTCTTTTTCTGCATAACTTTTTCTTTGTTTTTGAAGTCTTTCATTCAAAGCTAGTATATGATTGAACCTAATAGTATGAGAAATCCAAAGCAAAGTCTGTTTTACAACTTAATTTTTATATGTTTTATTATTTTCACAATCCTACCTGTCAATTGCTAACAATACACAATTTTTGAACAACTCACATGTTGTACGAGTATGTTTATATATCTACATCTACATATTGTTACAGCCAAAGGTATGATTATTTTTTTTTTAAATATGGTAAACATCTGGAATCAACCCACACATTGTGTTCTAATTAGTTAAACACGAAGAAGATAGATTTAAATGTAATTTAACACCGGTAGGATTTGTTTTTTGACTGAATATTTAAAAGAGAGCACATTTATGGATCTGTATTTCCGCTATTTTGTTTCTTTTTGTTTAACATCAATTACAAATCTTTATAACTGCACTCACCCAAAAAAAAAAAAAAAACAAAAAGAAACAACACAGCTCCATTAAATTCTAAAGCATATCAAAGATATGACAAAAAATATCTTTTGTGTGTGTAATATATATTTAATACGTATTCTTATTATTTTCATTAATTGGCTTAACCAATAGCTTGTCAAAAAAATAAAAAAAAATCCTTGTTTTCTGCACGTGTAAATAAATATTCATAATATTAAATATATTCATTTATTTACAATAGAAAGGTATTGATAAAACATTTTGTGGTGACTTGTGACGATTCATCGTCTTAAGCTTTGGAATGAAGATATTAGTACTCCAGTTAGCCCTCTTTATCATACTCAAACATTCCTAGATACTTTGTCTCACCTACAAATATGTAATGTCGAACATTTGGCTTTAAAAGATCATAGTTTTCCTGTTTTATTATTTTGATATAAAGGATGACATTTTTTGCTTTGTCGTCTAGCTTAAAAAAATGAGTTTTTACATGCACTTCTTTGTTTTTCCATTGACAAATTCTTTGTTGTCGTAAAAAAATATGAAAACGAATTATATCAGAAAAGGTTTTGTTAAGTGGCATATTTCTGCCCAATACATGAAAGATTAATTATGTACACATGCAACAACATATATATGTCAAGATACAAGTTTATTATGTTGACATGCAATTACCAATCTTGTAATAAAATATAATTTAAAATTGGGCAAACGTACTAACTTACTCTCTTATCTGACATCGTTGATGCAAGATGCAAGGTAATTATGTCAACATGCAACTTATTTATGTCAAAATGTAAGATAATTATGTTAACAAGATATGCATGTTGATCTGAAACTTATAGACTTGAATGTTGACATAATTAAATATTTTGTGTGTAAAAATATAACTTGCATGTTGACATAAATCAGTCACATGCTATTTATATTATATATATATTATATTCCAGAATTTGAAAAAAAAACTATAAAAAATTAACACCCACCACCAACTCCACACTACCCACCCCCACCCCTACACATGGGACTTTATTTTGAGGTCTGAACATTTCTTTTCTCTGCTATACAGGCCTGTATTGAGATTCATTGATCTTTGATATTCATTGAGTTAGTCACTGTCAATTTTATTCTTTTGAAAAGAATACATCTTTTAGCTGATGTCTACATCTGAAATTTCTTGATACCCACCTAGAAGTGTTATTTACGATTAATCGGATGAAACCGTAAGAACTGAGGTTCCGTGTCAAGGCAAGTGTTGGCAATATAAAGATTCCCCATTGCTCAATGGCTATGAGTGCCGAGAATAGTTCAAGATTGAAGCCCTTCTCCTGTATATGTAACCTCTCTTTACAACATGTACGAGAGTTGTCCAAACAGATCGTGGACATTGACGTTTTTGTGAAAATAAATGGTTCTATACAAATTTGTTGTATATCAAAATATTTCTAATGAAAAAACAAGTCAGAATGATTTAGTTTTTATTGATGGAACGTAATATTTTTGTAAAAATCGGGGTCTTTAGAGGTCGCGAATAGTGTGCACGGACCAATGTTAAAATGATGTAATCTCTGATATAAAGAGTTCGGATTAAAATGATTATTTTCGTTGTAAAACAAGTCAAAAATAAATAAAAATTTTATGTAACACAAATAAAGAGGTTATTATCCTTTTATGATATCTTAAATATCGCTTACTATATAGCCAACGAAAATACACAAAGAAAACCTTAGCAAGTACGTGTCAAAACTTAACAGAAAAAGTGACGTCGTCTGTCGGCAAGGGGCAGCGTCCGGTCAAAAAATTTAGTTTTATAACGGTTGAAACGATGTAAAAGGCAAAATATTTGTTAAAACATCTCAAAATTATTGAAATATATTGAATGTATCGATTTGGGATTCGTATATACGATTTTTCAACAGTGTGTACAAATTCGAAGACACTACAAGAATTTAAAAACACATGTAATTAACTGTAAATGGAGATTTCTATTCATGACGTTGTTATAAATCTAGCGCAGCGTCGGACTGGGCTATTCAGTTTGGGTATACAAACTGTTAATTTAGATTACGCTCGTAAATTTGTGTGCATTGTTTTGAATTTTAAAAATCTAAATAAATTATACCTAACTTAAAGATTATTGCTAGCACTTCGAAGTGCGTTGCACCTTAAAAAAGAAATATAGTGTGTGTCCATGAGCATGTGTGTTAAGTCAAAATCCAAATGTTTGACGCTATAATGAAATTAGCGTAACGTCAGACTGGTCCGTGCGCACAATCTGCGATCTTCAAAGACACCGATTTTTACAAAAATATTACGTTTCATTAATAAAAATTAAGTCATTCTGACTTCTTTTTTCATGAGAAATATTTTAATATACAATAGATGCATATAGAACCATTTATTTTAACAAAAACGTCATTGTCCACGAACTTTTTGAACAACCCTCGTATGACTGAAAAATTGATGAAAGCAACATTCAATCAATCAATCAGTCATTCAGTTACTTACATAGGACTTCCTGTTTTATCCAACAGTCCTACATATTTTACCTTTGATTGTGAAGGAATGTGAATTATTCCGACGTATCAAAGTACATGTAGCAAACATTTTAAAAAAAGAACAAATAACTTAAATGGTCATTTAATCATGATGTGATTAACATTAATACGTTATAGATAATCAAATATTATTGGATCATTTAATGCATGCAGTATTTGTCAAGCTCTTGCAAGCATTAAGATCGCAATAAGCAATATTTTTATTGTTAAAATCGTTTTAGGAAAAAATCTGATTTTTTGATACGGTATAAAAATAACGCCTATGACATTTGTTAAGTTCAAGAGAAATGCATGAAGAGCCCTAATGTAGATTTTCCAAAGGGTTTGGAAAAGTTTTGGAATTCCATGGAATTCCAATCATTTCTATACCAAACTCGAAAAGTGTGTCTGGAAGTTTTTGGAATATTTTGGAATTTGAAAAAAAAATTGGACTTAGACATTTTTTGGGTTGGAAAGTAGTGGATTTCTTTGGAAAAAATGATAAAATGAGAAACTTAGCCATTTTCTGCGCTGGAAAACTGTGGAAAATTACTTAGAATTTTTTAACTGTCGAATAATAGTACAATAACATCGGGATCGAAGTCGGGCGCGATGAACAATTAATTAAAACAACACGCTGAAATTCAAAAATATCGAATGCCATGTAGCTATTCCACCTGACGCCATCTTATCTAAATATAGTAACTAACCGGAAGGCACGGGATCCATGTTTTCACGTTTGTGATAGACGACAGTCTCATCCGAGGGTTGAGGTAAGTAATTTATTGGCTCTAAGTGTGATTTAATTGTCTGACATTGCAATTCAAGAATAAAGATCGTTTTGTTTAGCATTTGTATTGATAATATATTCTTGAAATGGCGATAATATTGGTTAAAAGTAAAAAAAATTCAAGTAACACAATGCCTTGTCAACATATGAGAGAATTAGTATTTTTAATGTTAGTCTGTATAAAGTTTAGATTAAGTAATATTAAGTTGCATGGAATGATTGCTTATTACCTTTTATTTATTATTGATGTAATTAAATTATTATTATTGTTCTCACTTTTTCACATTCTTTTTTAAAACGCTGGTGTACTGTTAATAGAGCAAATATACTGTAAATAGATTATCTGCCCTTGTTATAGTTTGTTTCAGAAAAAATCAGTGTCTACATATGATACAATTATACATAAAAATTAATAATAATACGATGTTACAAGACATTTCAATTAAAGTGCATGTTGAAATCAATGTTTTCAAATCCATATTTTTATAAAGGATTTGCAAACATAAAATACTTCTGTGCACCTTTTAACTGCATGTGTTTTATTTTATTTTTTTTTTGGTTTTTGTCGAATTGTTTGTGTCTGTATTGTGAAAAGTTTTAATGAATTTAAGACTATTTAAAAAAAATTACAATCATTTTTGAATAGAAATGTTAAATCTTCAATATTAGATATTTGGTATGTTTCATGGCAAAAAAAATATATTAATATAACTGAAAAGCAGGATAAGAACAGACACTTATTTTCACATTTTGCATTACAGGTGCTATACTGGAGTGATAAAGAAAGAAAACAAAGTGACGTTTTTGATTTGACTGAAAGAGAGATTAACACAGACATAAAAGAGGGATTTCTATTTATCAGAGGTAATGCACTTACACAAATTGTAAAACATTATTGTTCTACTTATATTACTGTTAAATGACATCAGTTTAATGTCAGCATTGTGAAAGTTATTATTTTCTAAATATACATATAATTATATATTTCCTCAGACACAACTAGATTTGACCACTGCTACGCAGCTTCTTAAACACCCTATCCTTCTGTGACGTCATCTGCCATCTTGCTTTCCAATATTTGTGCAGGACAAGAGGTCAAGGTAGTCACACTCAGTCAGTGTGGGACTCCGCGCTATACTGTATACCATTGTGAATACCTTGACCTTAATAACCCTTGAACAAATATTGGATTTTGCAAACTGAAATTACAGTGATACAGTGACTGAAATTTCCATAAAAGGTAAATACATTTTTTATGAAGAAAATATTAACTCATTTTATATTATATATACATATCATATTTTTATTTCATTTTTTTTTATTATCTTCTGTTCACTGTCTTTGTCTTTTATTTTTAGTTCATTTTCTTCATCTTTTATATTTAGTTTATTGTCTTTGTTTTTTGTGTGTGTCAATCTTCATTTTTGTTTTGTTTGCGTTTCATTTTGCACAGCATTTATGGTAAAAATTCTGTTAACAATCACTTTTGTGCACATTTATATATAATCCTTCCGTGACTTCATCCACCATCTTGCTTTCTACCTTCCTCTGACAACTACATATCATCATCATGACTGAGTCAAAACTTTTGAAATATTTAAACCTTCCCGCACCAGAACCATCTGGAAAAAAAATATACCAGCCTGTTGTCCTCTCTGATAGTAAGGGAAAATGGCTCGAAAGAGCAATAACGACCAAGGTAGACATTATTTGGTTTTCTAAAAGTGGCGCGAAGATTGAGGACAGTACCGAGTGGCTCAAAACAAACATAGATAACAAAATCAGGAAATATGGAAATGTGTGGCTTTATGTCTGGTTAGGTACCTGCAATTTGACCAGTAGAAACAATAAGTACAGTAGTCTAAACCAAAATAAAAATGAAGTCGTAGAAAATATACAAACAAAATTTTATGAGATAATTAACATTATGAATAAATATCCAGGCTCGAAAGTCACCATCTTAGAAGTACCACCTTATTCAATAAAAGCCTGGAATATAAAGAAAGGACACCCAAACCCACAAATTTTTGAAGAACAAGATAAGGAACTAGAAGAACAACTTTTTAAATTAAACAACAAAATAAAGGAAATCAACACTAATCTTAAAACCCATTCACCAGCATTTTCTGTAGATCTACACAAAACCTCCAAAACAAAATCAGGAACAAAGAAAACATCAAAACTCAGGAAATTTACAAATTTTATTCCCTTTTGGCCGATGGAATCCATCCAGGATCATTAATTGCCAAAGTTTGGTTGAAAAAAATCAGAGATCAATCTATAAGAGACTGCTGGGCCTGAGGAAACAGACCAAGATATACAGAACACAAGTCTAATATTTGTCCAGTTTGCAGGCAAATGACTTGGTAGGGAAAGAAATTTTGCATACAATTGTTTTATCTTCAATAATGATAATTTTACACTGTTTCACAAAATTGCATGACACTTAATAACAATTTTTTAAAGCATATCCTCTAAATAAATTTACAAGATGTCAAATGGCCATAGTGATCAGCCGAGAATAATAAAACAGTACAATACAACAATGTAAAGGATCTATAAAAGTAAATATGTAAAATACAGCTCATGGGCAAAGAAAAAGATTTTCCAAGAAATAATGCATTTTTATTGTATGATGACTACCTAAAGCTCCACACTTCCTCCAGAATCCCTGTCCATTTGACACTTAATTTTGCTAAAGGGCTCTGTAATTATTACATTAGTGCCAAAAGTTTGACTGTTGTCCAACCATAAAGAAGAAGATTATTTAAAGATTGCATTAATTCTGATGGTTTTGCTCCCATCCCATAAGCTGCGGGGAGTGGGCATGAAATTCACAATATTTGACTGTTTCCCTTTACCCACAGATGCTATCGGTATATGCCAAAATTGGTTGTCACTGGTTCAGCAGTCCCAGAAAAGAAGCTGATGATAATAAAATGTTCACACACAATGCACAATATAACACACAAAAAGATAGAAGACTGAAGTACATATATGTACATAGATGACTTAAAAAAGGGAACTTTTAGAAGTCAATTCAGAATTTAAGAAAATATCCATTGTCTAACAAGAGAAACATATTACTCATTTATTAAAGTAAAGTCTGCTTTTATTATCAAAAATACTAGGAATTGTGGAAATAAGTCAAAAAATTTCAACGACTGAAAAGGTTGAATGTAAAATAATTCATTAGAATTGTAAAAATGGATATTATTGAATTCTTTCAAGGTGTAAAAAGTCACAAGATTTCATTTTCTTTCAATTTACTATTTGAACAATTTGAACATACATCAGTCAATCTTTTTTTCTTCTTCATATGATGCATTCATAACTGTCTAATTATTAATGGTAGTATGTTTATGTCTTGTGCATGTTTTAAAATGTTCATACATTGTTTATGTTAATGTTTTTGGTGTAAGGTGTATTGCCTAAATGTTCATTTGAAATATATGTAATATCTATTTAACTTAAAATATTTATAACTGTATCCGCCATACTTCTAAATTATATGAATATCTATGAATTATATTTTACATTGTATACTTGTTTAATAAACTAAGGAGCTGATAAGAACAGGTTTATAATCTCTAAACAAACAATATTTTAGGTTGTGTACTGGGATGATAAAGACTGGAAGAATGACTGGGAGTTTCAGTTAACAGAGAGAGATCAGAGTTGAAGATTATTTACTACATTTTGAGAAAAAGACTATAGAAGGTATGAAGTGAGAGTTATCTTTCATTATAGGAATTACCCCTTCAATAATGAGATTGAGTTACTGCCCTTTGGAGCCAACCTCCACTTCAGGTAGAGGTTATTTGAACTTATTTCAATAACAATGGGAAGGATAACCAATGAAATTCTTTCTATTTATAACTAAGTTCTGCACTTGAGGACCTATTGATGATCATTATATTACCAATGATTTCTATTTAATTTTTAGGTGGAATAGCTATGCCATGTTGATGTTGCTCAGAAGGAAAGTTGGAAAGAGGGTGTCTAGAACAGGGGAATCATGATTAGCTTTGGATGGAAGAAGATAAAGACATTTTAAGTCCCGGTAGGTACAATATTGTACAGTATTTTATGTGTCCTTAAATGAAGAACGCTTCTGCTACTGTTCATTAGTCTGGACACCACACATAAACTGCCCGACGGTGAAATCGTTAGTGCACTATTTCAATTTTGTAATAATTTAAGATCATGGATTTTAACTCGAATTTCCTCGTTTGGGATCGAACCGATGTAAAGAATTTTACCTGTACGTTCCTTTGTTCAAGATAACATTTATAGAGTATGATGTATACATGTAATTAATTATATATTTTAATGCATGTTATGATCATTTTCAGCTCTTATTTTAATTATTTTATAGTTGCTGCATTGTGCCTGAGATGATCCCCACAGCGATGGCGTTTGATAACTTAGACAAGTTGGTGGATATGGATGTAGATGCTTAGCCAATCAGTCACAATAGGCTTGTGAATATGGTGAGAACTAGCTCAAATTATCATTCAAACCAAGTAAACTAACTTTGATTTTCTTAATCCATGTCTATTAGCATAAGATTAAAAAAAATTATTGCAAGTTTGCCATGTAAACAAAATTTAAAGGTTTATATTCTTAACACGCTTAAATTCCTTATTCTGATAATTTAAAACAATGAATTCTGACAGGTAATCTAAACATGCTAACTGCACAGGCAGGCATAATTATTTTAGATCAAACAGCAATCATCTACTATGAAGTATACATGCATTTTACAGGAATTCGGATGCTCACAAGGACAAGAGCTGTATGACAAAAAAACCCAAAAGGTCAGATTTCTTAATTATTTTCTAAATCAATAAAATCACATGAATTGAAATTATCTTTTTCAGTATCTGCTCACCTGAACTATTTTAAGGCCTAAGTGAGTTTTTTGATCAGTAGCAGTTGTTGTCTGTCATCTATAAACTTATCACATTTTTACATTTATCAGAATTAATCCCAATTTGAACAAAAAATTGCAAGATAGTGAATTCATATTCTACAAGAACCAATTGTTTTGTATAGCTTTAGTTTATTATTTGTCATATATTTATATGGATATCAATAATGATGCATCTTAATGGTTATCTTTTCTTTCAGAAATTGTGCAAGGAAAGTTTGAAGTGTCTGTGGGACTGGGATTGATTATCATCCAACTTTCTGAGCCTTCGTACTGAAAGTGAATGCATTCGTGACACCAATTATCTGTTAACCGTATAACATAACCATTTACTAATTTCATGGGATTTCGGTGAGGAAGTGATTCTCTAGCAAACACATCAGAAGTTTTGGATCTTTATTAATTGGGATCTTTGGCACGTACGTTGGGGGAAAATACTTTAGCATCTGTTGATTTTATGGGATCTTTGTATCAATATTATATAGTTGTGTAGTACATATTTGTTTGCATTTAATACATGTGTTTGTCACTCTAGTCATTAACTTTGTACCAGTACATAAGCCACTGGCAGTTCATTGTAAATGTATACTCTGTCGAGGTTTCAATGACCTCTCCAATTCCATGTCCAATGTCATTTAATAAAACTAACTTCTTATTTTAGAAAATGTAGACTGGAGTTTACTAAATACATGTATATCTTAACATGATTATCATTAATTTAACTAAGGTGATTCTCCAGTAATCATATTCTTCTCTGTATATTTTTGTGTGTAAATAACCTTTGATGTAAAATACTTTCAGTGAGAATACATTTAAAAAGTATGCTTATATTGTACATCTTAGAGGTATATGCTATTATATTTGTCTCAAAAAACATTGTAAAAGAAACAATGAATTTTTCATTTTGAAAATATAGATTTGATCTATGAAAAATTGTGATGTTTTTTGTAATTATTTGGCTCTAATTTTTTCAGTTTTCATTGTACATGTATTTGGAATTTAGAATCCTGGAATTCCATGAATTTCCATGGAATTCCTTAGATTTACAAATTTCCTGGAATTCCATGGATTACCTCCGCAAATTTCCATTCTGGCATTGTTCCGCTCTTTTCCAGGCTGGATGAAAAATTCCAAATCATTCCGAAAAAAGTTCCATCCCAATACTCCGGAGAATTCCTAAGAATTCTGCGGAACAAAAATTCCATGGAATTCCATGGAATATGCTTTGGAATTCCATGGAAGTTGCGGAAAATCTACATTAGGGTGTATAGGTCTAAAATGTATTTAAATTCTTATACAGATCATACAATAGCTATTCAACTCCTTGGCGTCCATAAAAAATCATGATTGCAGATTTATTACTTTTTATTTTCCAGTCTTATTTTAAAATTCAAAACTTCTTTTTCATCATTTTCAATTCTGCATTCCTAAAAGTAAGAAAATATATATTGCTGACAGAAACTCATTCGCCTTAGTAAACAATTACTGTTTTAAAGCAAAACCAAATTCAATGAATGTCCCAACTTGAATAGATTGACGTAGCAATGTGCTTTGATATGACATTTAATGTAATATTTACAGACACAGTTCAATAGAACAAAAGAAAAAATAATTCTGCATACAAAAAATAAAACATATCATGAATTGAAATCAATCGACATGATCCAAAACACACAAAAAGAGACAAAGAATAAAGTACAAAAACGTAGTTTGTAAAAATATTACTTTTTTTCCCGAAAAGAATATTCCTCACATGATAATCCAAAGATATTTTTTTTCATAAATTAGAAATTAAAGTATCTTTCTTGTCGTGTCACCTTTCTCATGTCTATTTCATTATTAAAATTTTGTAAGTCCATTTGACATTCTAATTTCCTTTTACTGTCCTAACAGGGCCCTTTTCAACTGTGTCGGTTTGCAAGTTAATTGTCCTCAATTGTCTATAATAAGATTAAAGAAAAATATAAATATGCTTATTAATAGTACAAAATCTAATTTATTCAAGAAATCACGACCTGCTATTCACATGAATACAAAAAAAGCACAAATACGCAGAGTAATATTCTGCAGAAAACAGCGATGATTGCGACTTGCGAAGTCTTAACCCGCTCCTAAAAATTACCTTAATATTGTAATATTGTGTTGCCTATATCGGTTCAACTTTTTTTTCCTTTGGGAGTTCCTTTAGTTTTTAATAATTGTTATTATCAAAGGCAAACATATTATTTTGAAGGACTAATTTCAATCCTTGAGAACAAATTCAATTTGAATGTGATCACGAACTAGTTAAGGGTGTTTTTTTCTATCCAGAATTATATTGCTTCTGTTGGAAAGTTAGTATAATTGAAAGCAAACAAAAATATTTAAAATGAATGTCCGTCCTTGACTAACTACATGTATATAGAAAATAATGACGTGTGTCGATCACCTGAACCCCTTGCTCACAGTATTTATATCCATGTATTTATGTATCATGTATATATAAGCTTCTGCACTTATTTCTCGCTTTTTGAACCCTTTCGTCAATTTATGAATTAATGATGTGAAAGATAAATAAATGTTTATTTTGAATTAACTATTTACTCTAAGTTTGTGAGATCTCAAATCAAGTATTTGTGCTTTTCCCAAAGAATGTTCAATACAAATAATTTAGATTGATTGATTGTATACTGTTCAACGTCCCTCTCCAGAATATTTCACTGATATGGAGACGTCACCATTGCCGGTGAAGGGCTGCAAATTTAGGCCTATGTTCGGCACTTACGGCCTTTGAGCAGGGAGGGATCTTTATCGTGCCAAACCTGCTGTGACCCAGGACCTCGGTTTATACGGTCTCATCCGAAGGAACCCCCCCCCCCCCCGATTTAGTCGCCTTCTACGACAAGCAAGGGGGTACTAAGGACCTATTCTAACCCGGATCCCTGCGGGGCCAAATAATTTAGCTATCTTGTTCAATTTATAAACATCGTTTCAGGTAAGATGTTTCACTTGAAAAAGACGTTAAAGGTAATCTAAAACCGAGCTCTATGATAAACGTGATGGAGTTTACATATATCAGTTGATTAGAGATTAAAGACCATGCTCTACGTATGAAAAATTTCTAAAACGAAGTAAATTATTGACAAACAAGTTGATGAAATAAGAATATAAGCAGTCTCGTTTAAAGTCATCATTTCGTAAGTTCTATGGTGGATACAATGACCTTGTCAGCAGATACAATTTATCATTGAATCAAATGCTGACGGATGTTTTTCATACAAATTGTTAGTATTAGTTTTTTTCAGTTATTTCCAAATCATGACAAGGAGCACACAGCGAGTGAGACCGGTCGGCAGGGGATGCTCACTCCTCCACTGCACCTGATCCCGCCTCTGATGTTTTGGAAATTCTTTGCTCTGCTCCTTTTTTTTATATTGTTATATGGACTTTTGACCTATATTGGGAATAGAAAAAACAGCAAACTTATATTGCACTATATTTTTTATTCCTTATTTTTTGGAACAGACAGCACAAACTATTTCTCTTCCCTCAACATATGGTGGACATTTTAACGAACCACACCGACCTTCTACGAAATAAAATAGGTAGCCATTTTGATTAGATTGACCATCAGGCAGTGTGTCTGGATTCTTGTCTACACATGTGTATGTTTTGCCCGCTGCATGACCATAATAACCAGCCATTAAATAGCCCTGGTACTCGAGTGCCCAGCCCTTGTGGCATGTTTTCTGTGCTGAAACAAAATTTTACAATTATTAAATAAATGATATTAAAATTTCCTTAAAATGTATAGCTTTTTATGTTAAAACACACCATCTGAAAGAGACAATGAAGGAACTCAA